GTTGTTTGACGGTACTCTACCGCGCTGGTCCGTACGAGTCGGTGAGGGGTAAAGGGTCCAAATGGGATAGCTTCATTATACCTCTATATGCTGAAACGTATCTTTCGTCAGATGCTCCACTTGCAATTAAAAAAAACTAAAATAAAAAAAGTACAAAGAAAAAAGTAATCATCTGACTGCAATTGTCTAACAGCGGGTGCACTGGTCGCTGGCACAGGGTTCTGAATGTAAAGTCTTTCATGTTGTGATGACAGCAAGAGCACAATTGTAAAATACTATTTGTGGAATTTTTTTTTTATTGTGAATAAAGAACGAGAAGGACATTGCACTTGCTGTTGGGTCTCTGCTGTGCTCAGCTGGAGTTTTGTAGAAACTCTGGGGTGGAGGAGGATGAGGAGTCCGAGTGATCGGTTTTGGGGTCAGGCTGAGCGTGGGGCACGTGTTGACTTTTGTGTCAGGGCGACTGTCACGTGGTAAAACGCGACCCGACCTGACCTGACCTGGCAGCGCCTTCACGATGCGTCCCGCGTACTTGCAGCAAACAATTCCAGAGCAATGCTGTTGTACGGAGAACAACAATAAAAGCGAATCAAACTCAACTCACTCGTCAACAATCCTGCTTGAACCCTTTCTCGTTCCGAGACGAGTGCAGGTTGCAGGGTGGGTCCCCCGTTCACCACCGAATCTCGTAACACGCGAGCTGTTCAGCTTTAATCTTATTTAGAGAGGCATAGCACCGTTGTTTTTAAAAGACATTGTGCTCACCGCAGAGAACTGTAGCGACATGACTCGCATGGCCTTGTGGGAACCTTGGTGCCGATAAAGTTATATTTTAGCTTTTCTTCCGGTTCTGTTCCAATGACGCACATGTAAGATGATGTACGTGTCCGATGACGTAGGTGTACGTCATCGGACGTGTAGATCATCGGAACGGCAACGGGTGAGGGATAAGGTTACGTATAATAGGCGACGTTTCGGGCAAAGGCCCCTTCTTCACAGCGTTGCGTAAAAATTTTAATTTTAGCAGAACAATAGAGGTGCTGCAAAATTCGAAGCGAGTGTTTTCAAAAGGGAAGTCAAACGTTTAAATATGTGTGCCTGTGCGTGTGTGATTTTTCATCTTTTTTTCCATAATAAGATACGCAATTCACTTTTAATATTTGAATGTCTGTTTAGTATTTTAGAGAATAATGGCAATTACACTGCAGTTATGGTATATATATAAAATGTCGAGAGCATCATTACCAAAAGCTCCAGATTGGCCCTCGTGAAGATGAGCAAAACCGCACTGCTTTTAAGAACAAATAAATCGGGGAGAAAATGCAATCTTTGAATGCAAAATGTGTCTACGGGAATGGCATCATCTACAGATGGAGACTGCCGTGCTCTTACCACAGCCAATATTATCATCACAGCACACACTGTAATGCGAGCCTGTAAAATTGGCAAAAACTGCAGCTTAACTGCCACTATTTCTCAGACGAGGGCGCGTGCGCGTGTGTGCAAATCGGCGCTCATCATTGCACGCTGAGCTCAGGGCATGTTTTCTCCAGACGCATTTGGCTGTCCCCCTCCGACCACGGCAAAGACCGTCATATTCGGCTGCAATGCCATCTAGGGATGGATGAATAAATGAATTTCCGCCCGTCACGACGCCACCGTGATGTGACAGAACGCGTGTGGTGCCACGGCCGCCGTTGCCCGTCAAGAGGTTGGCAACACGGTGGCGCGCGGACCGTCACCGAGTGCGACGTGCCAGAACTGCCACCGGTTGGAACTTGGTCCGCGTACAGCCTTGCCCGTGATCGCCACCGCTCAGAGCCCTGCCTAGCGATTGATAACGCGCCACGCGGACCGCCGTTGAGCGTCACGTGGCGAAAGCGTCGAGTCGTACCCACGGGACGGAGGCGCATGGGGCGAGTTCGATCTGACTGCAGCCTTCCCCTGTGGCTTTACGGTGGCAGCCGACGCTGCAGTGAGCAGAGTCGCGCGCCCACCCGCGCTACGCCACTGGCTGTGGTCGCTTGGTTTGACGCGGCGGTCGCTGCGAAGTCGCCTGCGTTTGGTGCGGTGATGGGAAGGGTTGCGGTTCCGCCCGTGTGCTTCCCTAGGTTCTGAGCGCAGCCAAGAGGGCAGGCCTGGGGGCCTTAGGCGCTGCCTGCTGGGCATCTTTGCTTGCGCTGCAGCTAAAGGATCACCCGCCGCCAAGCCAAGCAAGTCATCCTCCAACCCTCGCAGTCGCTCTCTCTCTCTCTCGTCTGTCACTGCGTGCCCTCTCATACACGTCATCGGTCATGATCTACAGCTGGATGAAGACCTCCACGAGTTATCACGGTCACTCACGGTCCTGCGGGGCAGCAATCAGTCGAGCTCCCGCACACGAGCTGAATTCCTCACTCCATCCCAGCAGAATTATCTCCTCCCCTCTCACCCTCCTTTAGCTGCCGGTCCATCATTTGACTCACCAACAGTTCTCGTGGCGCGTCCCACCCAAGCTCACTTTACCTCGCCTGGTATTCAGGAGGTCGTGGGTTCGATCCCAACTCTGATGCCTGCTGTATATTTGGAGTTTGCATGTTCTCTCTCTCCACGTGATCAGCTACTCCGTTGAGTTATATAGCTCAGTGGGCCTTACCTGGTAGTTTTACTTTTCTTAACAGTCAATACAATGTCTGTAACTTGCGTGCGTTCTCAACCCCTTTGTATGTCTTATGTTGTCTCTCTGTTTCTCACGAGCAGTGTCTCACGTTGTCTCTCGTACCCACGCGATTTGTGCTTTTTCGGTTTTGAAATGTTCTCTCCCGCCGGAGATACTGATTACACTGGTCAACACACTTTTTCTGGCATAAGGTATTCCAACGGTTTTAAGGTAATTTCGGGGTGCTGATTCCAAATCTGGCATCAGTTTTTGTCTATCACATCAGGTTTTTGAGATATCTAATTGCATTTTCAATAAAAACTGCAGAAGAAAAATATTAAATAAATGTGGATATCTACATAAAATTATATTATAAACACACTATCCTAAAAATACAGCACCACATTTTAACACTAAAGCAGTCACTGACTCGCAACAACTTGCAATCATAAGTGACAGAGTTAATTTCGGGTAAAATCAATGAAAATGGGGTATGCCGATAGCATAAAAATGAGATGTGATAGAGCAAATCTGAGATCAGATTTGGAATCAGCACCCTGAAATTAGTCTAAACAGCTGCAAAAGTCCAGGCCAGATTTTTTTTTTTGACCAGTGTTATCGAAGGGCAGCGGAACGGTCGGATCGTGCTCTTAGCAGCTGACATTTGTTACAACTATGCACACCACAAAACGATATCTGTTAATAATAATAATGCATATTTGGATGCATAAAGTGTCTTAAGATCGGAGAATATTAACATGCTGCACAAATTTCAACGAGGAGAAAAACCCATTAGAACAGAAAAGTCAGTGTAAGCCAGAAGGAAACCATTCTTTTAAAATAATACAGCTTGCAACAAATTTGTTGACATTAGCCAAGCCAATGGGCCCCATGGAGTGGAAGTGAGGACTGGAAACCAAGGTCTCGTTACAGCCTCACATCACTATACACTACACTATACACTACACTATACACTACACTATACACTACACTATGCACTACTTTACACTACACTATACACTACACTATACACTACTATACACTATACACTACACTATACACTACACTATACACTACACTATACACTACACTATGCACTACTTTACACTACACTATACACTACACTACACTATACACTACTATACACTATACACTACTATACACTATACACTACACTATACACTACACTATACACTACACTATGCACTACTATACACTACACTATATACTACACTACACACTACACTACTACAGCCTCACGTCGGTTCTCTGCAGCCGCCCCCTCGGTGTGGCACTCTCTGATCTTTTTGCGTATCCGCAACATCAAATGCATTCTGACTTTAAAGAAACTTCTAAAGGCCTCTGTTTGCTCAGATTTTCGAGCAGCCCTGAGCTTGCCTCCGCACCTCTGAGTGTTTGACTTGCCTGCAAAATCTAGCGCTTTATAAATGTCGCTATTATTACTATTATGATGAGTCCCAATAAGGACGAAACCGGACTGCAGTTGACTCTGTCTCACTGCTTACCGTCAGTCAGTCTCATTTATTTAAGTTTATTTGCTGGTCGGGGGGGCAGCCTGTCCATATAGGCCAACTAGGCGGTCTCCTAAGGGTGCCAAGTTAAGTGGGGCGCCAATTTCGAGGGGAGAAAAATACAAATGAAAACAATACAAATAAAATAACGATGTCATTATTTCAATTACTGTGCGCTTGCAGAGGGAATATAAATTATAATAAATTTCTCTATATTTCTGGGAATGTATTCGTTGGACAGACAGATGGACAAACCAAACAATTACGTCTCTGTTTAAGACGACAATACGCTTATACATTTTCTATGGAAAATAGGGGCAAAATATTAAACAGTTTACCAACAACCTCGGCCTAGATCTGCCCTTGGGGTTCGCGTGGGGTGCCAGTTGCTGGTAGCTCGTCTCGGGCCGCCCCCGTTGATGGTGACCTCAGTCAAGAGGACCACCAAGCAATTGTTCAGGAACTGCTGATGGGCACGGGACCGAGTGCTCTTTGTATTATTAATTTACATTTTTTACCTACGTGACTTTACCGAAAAAACCTAAGAATACTCTTTGTACAAGTTTCCGCACGCTTATAGAACAACAAAAATGAAAACCATTTAATTCTGATTTTTATTAAAACATGATAAAAGCAAAACAACACGAATTGGGCAGATCGTGCAACTGCAGGACACTGTGTGCACAGGACGCCTCTCTCACCGCAGCCCCACGCTGTTCACGGAAATGCTGTGGCGGGAGATGATAGCTAGAAGCGGCAACTGGTGGCACAATGGAGAGGGTGACAAATTGGAGGAAAGTGGAGAGGTGGGACATTTTAACGCGTAGGTGGGACATTCTGAGAGAGTGGGCTCAAGAGATGAGCGACTTTGTCAACGGCGGAGCAGGGAAGGTAGCCTTCAATTCTGCACCAAGCGTTGGGGAGAGGAAATCGGCAGTGTGGATGACCAGGAGATGAGACGATTCCTGGGACAACGACAACGCAAAGATAAAACGGCGACCCTGACACTTGTCGGTCAACGTGCCCAGCCTGAACGTGCACAGAACGCCTCTCGGAATCGAAGTCAGCTGGCCAATACTCATTCCTCTCCACCCTCTCGTCTGGAACTATACAACTGCGTGTGTATATGGGGTTGTTGGGTTTTTTTCTGGTGAAAGCATTCAACACAAAGCTTTGTGGATAACAATTAAGCACGTGGCATCTGTAGTACAGACAACAGACGAATATATAAAAATATACAAAGAGGACTGCAACTGAACGTTTTACATGTTCAGGTCTTCTCGCATTAGCCAACGCGTGAATTCAGATCTAATGGCAACATTTGTAGAAAATATATATTAACCATAGTATGATATATTACACATTATTGTGTAACACATTATTGTGTAATATATATATATATCACACATTATTGTGTACTATATATCACACTACCCATTACTCCATGCCTTACCCGTCCAAATCTCAGGTTTGAATCTAGCCAGCAGCCCAGCTGCTGCCTGCGTGCTTTGAATGTGCCACTAGACCGAGGTGCCGTCTGCCCTGTGGACATTATGGCCCCTGATGATGCTCTGGGATAAGAGCCACCGGGTAACGTGGCGAGTGTTCCAGCCGAAATCTATGAGATGCACAAAATACCTGGGCTGGCCAAACTCCTCTGTACACAAGGGAAGGTCACAGATGCACTGATTGCCAAAATGTTCAATGTTCTAACCCTTGACACGAGAACTCGTGCATTTTTCTAAAGGTTATTTATCACGCCAAGATTGCGCTTCAGTGCCGCTCAAGCAATGTGTGTGCGCGTGTGCATATCACCCTGAATATTATCCTCATATACTTTAATACCATATTCTTGGTTCTTTCGGTAAAGTTACGTAGAAGGGAAATAATAAAATAATATACATATAAAACAATACAAATTCTCACGACGTTTCGACTGCAACACAAGCAATCCTCATCAGGTGTGAAATCCACAGCAAGAAATTTTATATTATTTTATTATTTCCCTTCTACGTGACTTTACCGAAAGAACCAATAATATGAATCCCTGCAGTCACGAAAGCTTTAAATCAAAATTTACTTTAATACCGTCTAAATAAACATACATTGCTTTTTTTACAATCCCACAAGTCACCATTCAAGATAAATGACATCTCCACGGGGTTGTACATTACTGGAAACAAAGTTGTTGTATCTCTAGCTCAGTCCAACATTGAGAGCTTTCAAATAGCTATCTAGGAGTTTCAAAATGTACGGTGTGGTTTTTGTCAGATTGCACCGCGTGTTATCTGCTCCATGCCCTGGCAGCGTCTTCAGTTCCACAATCCCTGAAAGAGGCTCTCGGCACGTGCAGTGAAACGTCAGACATCGTGCCGAACAGCACACGAGAGCGCGTACAACACATCCGCGAAATACCGCAGAATTAGAATGTTTATTTATACCGGAGGAATCCGATGGGGCTACATGAAGCTATTTTTCCCAGATGTCCAGGAGGCAGCCGTGTAGATTGCTAAGCCCGACGACGGCGCTGCTGCTCGTGACAGAGCTGCAACTCACTCCGGCTCATTTAGATTCAGCAGCAACACAACAACAACAACAACCACAGCTGTGAAGCCCGCAAGGCAGCGGAGATTCACAGCCGTGTTACGAAAATCGGGATCGCGCGGGGGGGGCATCCTGCTTGAGGTGGTACCCCGAGGGGGGGAGTGGAGGGGAGGGGTGCCATTCGGCAGGTTAATTCTGCAAATCTACACAATCTGAGAGGGCCACGTGCCCTGCCCTCCCCCCGGGGGCTCTCCGGCACCGGGGGCCATGCAAGGTCACGCGCCGCGGCGCAAATTGAACTTCGCTCATCGATTCCTCCTTCCACGTCGGTGACCGAGTCTACCTGAGACACTGCCTGCTTAGTCTCGCGCGCACGCACGCACGTGCGGTGCACCCAGTCGAAGCACCACGACCGATATACCAACGCCCGTCCTTCGCCACGAAGTGACGGTGGCGTCACCACGGCGCCTGTGCCAGGCCAATGCACTTTGTTGGCCACGTGACTGAGATGGCTGGCAGATGCACCAGCTAACACCGCCACCACTACGACCACCACACTCCGCGACTTTTTTCTTTCTGTTTCTTCCTTCGCTACGGTTCCTCCGTTTAGGATCTAAACCTCCTATCATCTCAGAGTTATGTTTTTTTTTGCTTGATTCAAGAAATCAATTAGCTCTCAACTATGACGCCTTCAGTAGTGCCGATTGTTGCTGGCCACCTTGGCCTTTTGGGCCTCTGGGGTTGTGCTCAGCAACCGTGAGGATATAACAACAGAAACGGAAAATTAAATTCGGTCGAGCACCGGGAGATGCGGTGCAAAAAAACCCAACGTGGACTCAACGTTGGGCCACATTAGAATTTTTTTTCCATATTTTTTTTGCGTAAATAATAGATCGTTCCGCCACTTTGCCGGCCAATTATGGCGACGCCTCTGGTGGTAGGTTTGACGGCCCCGAAGTGGTGATTACTGGTGAGCACGCGGGGGTTCACCCTCTCACTCCGTACGGCGCCACACTCTACGCCGAGCGCGGTGCGAGACGTGGCGCACGCTCGCGAACAGCGGCGGCTCCCTCTCCCCTTGGTAGGGGGGGGGAGTTTGGGTGGGTTGGGGTTGGGGGTTTTACCCTAGCGCCGAAACCACTCTACACCGCGCGCCAATTTACCACCCCCCGCCCGCCGCCGGGGCCACGAGTGGCCCTTCACCACGATGGCTGCGGATGCGAGAAACGTGAATTCACGTTCGTCGGACAACACAAGCAACGCGCAACCACGGAGGAGTCAGGGAACGTCGCGGGCTCAGATTTACACTTGAAATATCGAAGCCTGCACGTCACATTAGTCTGCTGCCCGGTAAAGGCACGCCTACGTGTACCGTACCGTGAACATGTCTTGCGCGTTCCACGTGCAGACGTCACTTGCCATCTGCGGACACGCACGGGGCCGGGGTATCCAGATGTCTTCTCGAGTAGCGTGTTCCTTCTCATTCTGCTTGCGGAGTGAACGCCGGCTAATTAATTACGCCGCTCCGCTGAAAGGAATGTCGGACGTGAAGGCGACATGTAATTTACGCTTTTGATGCTCACATGAATGAACACACGGGGGGCTAACTAGGGATACTTAATGCAATGATCTACAGCGTTCTTTGCCAGATTAAATCCGGCCAATTCTCTATTTATAATCAGTAGCATTTATTCACACGCTATGACTCATTCCCCGCTGCACATTTCTAGAAAAGTCTGTTTTTCTAATCACCGCATGGATCTGCCTTTTATTTTTAGTCGGCGATCTGTCAGTGTCTGCAATTGTCGGCAGTATTTCGATTTTACGGAGAAAAGAAGAAAAAAACCCAGAGCGTTGGTCGGTTTTTCTACCACAATACAAATAGTCGTATGCACGCACGCACGCGTGCATGCACGGCGACATTCACATTTCATTTTTAATCTGACACTTGTTTCCAGGGACTTTCCGTTATTCCCCTTTAGGGATATCGATTTACCTTTAAAAAGCCTTCGAGCAGATAGCGGCGGAAATATCGACGGGGCGAGCGGAAGGTGAAGGGGTAGGAGGAGAGGCGTTGACGCACGTTCAGCACGGTTCATCAACTGCTCGTGTGCGTGCGTGTGCGCCCCTCGCCACAGATGACCTGGAGGACGACCTGGAGCTGTCCCCCGTGTGCCACCGTCCGGAGGGGCTCGAGATCTTGCAGGAGCAGACCAAGTTCAACCGCAAGGAGCTGCAGATCCTCTACCGCGGCTTCAAGAACGTACGGCTCTCCCCTTCGTTTATAGCAAATTCGTTCTTCGCCAATTTTCAGAGAGCGGGGGGCACAGGGGGGCACGGGGGGCACCTTCGCCGATAAGACATCATCGGTGTGTAAGGGCCCGCCACACATTTAAAACCACTGGGGTTTGACAGCGTGATGATGATGGGGGGGGGGTGTTGTCACTTGTTGTGTATTGTCGGGGTTCGCATGCCAGGGCCCCCACTAAAGGCCACCAGGGGGCTGCCAGTGGCTCGCGGGCCTTGCAATGAAGACCGCCGCTGCCCTGTGGAGTTGTTTTTGTTTGGCTCGCCACTGCCAACAGCGGTCTGGCACAGTGGGCCCTATTAGGCCAGGTCGCACAATCGAAAGGCTGGCGCATTCTCATTCTCATCGAGGGTGAGCTCAGCGCAGCATAACCTCGGGATCGGTAGCAAGGCCTCTGAGGCCAGTACAAGATGCTATAGCACGCGTACTGCTCTCAGGAGGTCGCGTGAGCCCGCTGCGTACAGCAGACGCACAGGCGCAGCACTTTGCCATGACGCTGCTGAGCGGAGGGGCCTCGCCGCGCCGTGCGGGTCGTGGCGGTCATTCGACCATACTTCACCACGTCGGTCAGTGGGGAGCATAGATGCGGGAACATCGAAGTACAGTAGAACAATGGATTTCGCTGCACTGCCCTTTGCTGCCAAACGGGTGCTCCAGGCTATGGCATCGCAGCAGCCTATAGCACCTGTTATGCACGAATGTGGTGGTCACCTATGCGACCGCTATCCAGGCTGAAGCCTGCTATAGGGTTTTGAAATCTGATGAGATGGCGTGCATTTCAGGTGATTCGACCGTAGGTCAAAGTCAACTTATAACAACAAGAACGTTTCTTACGCACACGACTGTGAACGCAAACCGTTTGCTGCTCGTCAGCGAATCAACGTAAGTGCCGCACATGCAGCACAAGTGCAGCGTGCGGTTCGTGAAGCCGTTCTCTGCTCGTTGTCTATCCCCCCCCCCCCACCCCACTAGGAATGTCCCAATGGCATCGTGAACGAAGACTCCTTCAAGGAAATTTATTCTCAATTCTTCCCGCAGGGCGGTGAGTGTCGCACCGCGTGCTTATAACGCCATTTAAAGTTCGTCGTCATCAATGCAGCATTCCAAAACAAACACGTCAGAGACTCGGGGGAGGAGTCAATCTGGACTGGAGCACTGAGCTTGGCACAGCTGAGATATACTGCTGGAGTTTGAAATCCAGGTTTGCAAGTCGAGTGAAGTGTTGGTTCGAGCCCGGTTTGCCTAAGATTGCCTAAGTCACGCCACATTCTATATGGGATATCACTTAGTTTGGCTTATTCCACCTCTCGGAGTAAAACATACATGGATAAAATTTGTTGCATTTGACGATGGGACAAACAAGGATACAACTAAAAGTTGTCACATGGTCCTCCTGCTGCAATAATATCGCCACAATTTTTATTTTATTTTTGTGGTCGCAAAGAAGGCTGCGTGCACTGTGCACACAGTATGGTGAGTCGCCAAACTGCGTAATCATTTACAGAAAGTGTCCTCATTGGTTTCATCTGAACACGTTTTAGCAGGGCATACAAAAGGTGTGTCCCCCCCCTAATGTGGATAGAGATAGTCTCATAAAATACCTTCAGAAGTAGTTCTGTGACATCATGTTCTACGCCAGTTCTTCAACACGCTGTGGTGCACCGCTTGCTGCGGGAGTTCGGGATGAAAACGGTGCGCGTCTCATGGCAGGATGATGAAGGCACACAATCGTAAAATAACACATTCCTGCGGCGGGAGCTGGTAGGAACGTTGGGTTGCTCAGTCAATGGCCAGGGTCAACGGCGGCGTGGTGTATTCCGCAAATATGCCCGACTGTGAGGGCGGGCACAAGCCGGCGTGAGTAGGTTAAACGTTGAGTTTTATAAGGGCACCACGGGGTGAGCAGCCCCTCCCCACCTAGCCCCACCCCTCCCACCCCCCACCCAGCCCCTCCCCACCCTCCCCACCCAGCCCCTCCCCACCCTTTCCTCTCCACCCAGCCCCACCCCTCCCATTTTTGGATGCACGACGGACGGACGGACAGACACAATAATCCCCTGTGGGCTGGTGGAACCAGGTGGTTCCTACCAGTATAATCGTGCCGGCAAAGGCAATTGTAGAGGTGCAGCCCTTCAACTGCCTGCTCGTGCCACGGCTCTCAGAAGGCGCCTGTGCTCGAACGGGTAGCTTCATTAGAGAGCTCCTCTCGAGCGAACTTGGCCTACTGCTCCACGCTGGCCAGACGCTTCCGTATAATTGAGAGAGCGCCACTCACTCACTTCACATTTACCCTACCGCACAGCGACCTGCCGATCGCTTTGAAATAAATATTTATTTATTGTCTCGTGGTCCCCCCACCACCACTGGGGTGGGGGACGGTAAGCCCGGATTTCCCTCTTCGCTCAGCCCTGGCGCACTCGTCTCGGGCTCTCTTTGCTCACAGAGTGAAAGTCTTCCCCCCCCCCCCCGTACCGCGTTCGGTGCCTTGTACTACGCACACGTAGAGTCGCAGTAAAAGAAATTATAAAAAATATCGTTATGAAAAATAAATAAAACATCTCCCCACCACCGCCACCGCCGCACCCCCTCGTTCACGCTCCGCAGGCGGCGTGGGTCGTGCGTGAGCGAGGTCGCGGTCGCCCTGATGATGCTGTGCGCGTGTTTTTGTGTCGCACGCATTGCCCCCCCGCCCTCCCGCCACCGCCACTACCACCGCCGCAGATGCCAGCACGTACGCGCACCATCTGTTCAACGCCTTCGACGTGGACCAGGACGGCTGCGTGAGCTTCGAGGTGGGCGAGATGCGCGGGGCGAGAAGAGATGAATTAACGGGCGCCGAGATTAGCGCGTGGCGAATGGTGAAGCAAGCGGCAGCGTCAATGTGAAATTGACGGCAATGGACCTCGCCTGGCACGGCATGCTATAGCACAATTACTATCTTTTTTAATTTTAACAGATTTAAGGCTCACCGAGCTACACAATATAGAACTTTTTCAGAAGCGACCTATCACAAATGATAGCTCAATGAAGTGCCTTACCATTAAAACTGTATAGCAGTCGAATACTATAAAGGCACGTTGATTCTAAATTATTCTAAATACAGCGCCCACGTGACATCCGCTCAACGCTTCGAGGTAACCGCATAGTTTTTACAGGCAGAAGTGCACTCTGGGGAATTTTATTAATGAATCATCTACGTTCTAATTAATTTGCCTTACGATAGATTGGGGAGGGCTGTAGTGGCAGAGCATTGGTTAGCGCTACTTGTGCTGCGCCTGAACTAGAAATCCCTGCCAATATTTAAATAGTCCTGGGCAAACCCCCACCTTCACCAACCTTGCATTGACCGGGGGTAGTGAAGTATGGTCAAACAGTAAATAACATCCATGACTGTGACAGCGTGGGGAGGGGGGCTTCAGCAGATGATGAAGGGTGACCCCTGTGGAGATGGAGCGATGAGATCAGTTGGTGTGAAAGATTGAGATGGATTTTTGGACCGCAGGACCATGAGAAATGTGGTGGCATAGGAGCAATGGATAGACAATGTCTGATGATGTTGTTGCTGAAGATGATGATGCCGCTGATAAAATGATGATGGTTGCGTCTGTTGATGATATTTCTGAAGTCGGTTGTAAATGACAGTTGTTTTTCTGGGATAGAGCGCTTGAATATAAATGTGTCGTAAAATCCGCCACCACCCGACACAGCCAATTAGTAAGGTTGTGGCACGTAAACAGAACTTTTGCATTCGTTACTAGTACAGCACTAGTGTGTAGTGTATAGTATAGTGTATAGTGTAGTGTATAGTGTACCCGTACAGCACACCGGTGTGTTGGAGAGCAAATCCACAACATTTACCATCTGAGTACTGAGATTTACAATCTGCTAAGCCTGCCGCACCAGTTTGAGTGTTTTTTTCTCATATTTTACGCGATCTAACACAAAAAACCTGTATTGTGAATGATATTGGTCGCGAAAGCCAACGTGTTAATATTCTTAGGTTTTTTCGGTAAAGTCACGTAGGTAAAAACATAAAAAAGTAAAATAAAATAAAAATCACGACGTTTCGGAGGCAACACAAGCTTCCGTCTTCAGGTGGTACCGTCACAGCCACGACAGCTGTATCAAGTAAATGAAAGATTGCAGGAGCTACCACTCCGTTTATATAATGGTTGGAGAAGATGGTGGGGCAAGGGCCGCATACTTTTTATTAATATGGTAAGGTGAGGCTTAAGACTAAGAATAGACTGCATAACAAAGGCTGAGCCTTTGTTATGGAGAGGTGCGGTTTGTGACGCAACCTGTGACAGGGGGGCCACCATTAAACATGGTAAAACTGTAATGGTTCTCTGTCAAATAAGATTGGCAAATAAGTGTAGTTAAATCTTTTTTGCATGGTTAATCACATCTTTCCAATGATTACTCAGTTTGTAACCGTCATCAAACGGAAGCTTGTGTTGCCTCCGAAACGTCGTGATTTTTTTTTATTTTACTTTTTTATGTTTTTACCTACGTGACTTTACCGAAAAAACCTCAGAATATGAATCATTGCAGTCACGAAAGCTTCAAATCTAGAACCAACGTGTTAAACTAATGGTAAATTAATTGATGATTGGAAACTAATCATAATGAATACGGTGATTTTAATTGTAAACCAATGATGATTATCTTAATTGTAAACTTATAATTACAAAGATGATGATCATAAAATGACGATCATTGTAAACTGATGATGACGATGAATGGAAACCGATTATTTTAATTGTAAATTTATTATTGTAAACCGTCTTCTTGGTTCTTTAGGTAAAGTCACGTAAAAGGGACGTAATAAAATAATAAAAATAAAACATAATAAAATACAATTCTCGCATCCCTGTTTTTAACCTGAGGACGGCTGCTTGCGTTGTGGCCGAAACGTCGTGAGAATTGTATTTTATCATGTTTTATTTTTATAATTGTATTATTTCCCTTCTACGTGACTTTACCGAAAGAACCAAGAAGATAAATCCCTGCAGTCACGAAAGCTTTAAATCGATATTGTAAACCGATGGTGATTTTGATGATGATGATGATTTAATGATCATGAACTACATGCATGTGCGTGCGTGCGTGCGTGTTGGGACCAGGACTTTGTGACTGGCCTGTCCGTGCTTCTGCGCGGCTCCGTGACGGACAAGCTGAGGTGGGCCTTCAACTTGTACGACATCAACAAAGATGGCTATGTCACCAAGGAGGTGAGGCCCTGCGGCCGTCGCATCCATAATCTTCTCGTCGTCTGGCTGCTGATGTAGATGCAGAGCATCAGCTACATTTCACATTCAGGTTGTTCGAGCCCAGGTAACCTCGTCAGGAGCAGCGGAGTAGTTTATCCCCGCGGCGTCTCCTCCGTATTTTTTGATCGGGCGTTGCGTCGTTATACGTTGTTCTGGATGACCACAGTCGCACACTCCCGGAGAGTTTTTAATTTTCCATTGGTGCATCAGGTATCCACATCTACTGCCACAATAATAACTTTCAAGGCACCACACAATGTTCGCTGTGCGGAGCATTGCAACCACAGGCGTGCGGGAAGGCGGCAGCCACGTGGCGAGCCGGAACCTAATCCCACCGCTGCAAGTTCTGCAGTGCTCTTTATCGTAGTACGATCAAAAAAATAACAACAATCTACGACTCCAGTTTGCTGGCTGGCTGCTGGCTGGGCTCCTCTCCACCCATAAAAATAACTCTGTCGTTAGTGGCTGCTGCGGGGCCGTTGCTACCGCAACTAGCTGGGCAACTGGCGACACGGGATTTTCCGCACTTGGTGCGTTTTACATATGAACTGTAGTAAAACAAGTGTGGATATTAACGAGAGCGAGGCAACGGCAACAGCAGTCAAGGTGTTCGTGTGCATCACGTGGACGCTTGTTTACTGCTCGTGCAGGAAATGTTGGACATCATGAAGTCAATTTACGACATGATGGGCAAGTACACGTACCCGGCAGTGAACCACGACGCGCCAAGGGACCACGTGGACAAGTTTTTCGAGGTGTGATGTCCCGCCCCCCTTTCCCGTAATCCTGTAATCACAATCGTCATGACAATAGTAACACCGTATGGTCTGTAACCAACGTGGCCAAGATATACACCGCGCACTAGATGTAAAATTTGTAAGGCAAGAACAAATTATGGAAATAAATTAATTTCGCCAAATGTTTAAATCCCTACCCCACCTTGTGCCCACAGGGACGGCTGCTTACTGGCAGTGCCCTCTCAAATGTGTTGAGATGTGAGGTTTCGCGCTCGGAGACGCCACAGCGAAAAGGAGGGCGCTATTTCAAAATCGAATCCATTATAACGCCTTCATGCTTGTGATGACAAATACAGTAGTTCCTCGTTTAACGAAGTAAATGCGTTCCTTAACAAGTTAGAGCGGCGCACGTTAGAACGGGGCGTGTTCCGCGTTGTGCGAAAAGCGTTCCCGAATGGAAGAACCGCGTTGTAGCGAAAACACGCTGTGGTATGAACACGGCCACGCGTTCTGCGAGGACTCGCCGTACCGATGCTTTGAACTTGTTCCGTGCTTATTGCTCCAAAGATTTTGACTGCACTATGCGTTTTCTCTTTTGGTCACGACGACTCTGTGTGTGTGTTTATTGCCTTTGATGATTCTCGACTGCCCAACTGTTTCGCCTGTAACTTTTCGACAGCATCCGATAAATACGTTTTTGTTTCTTTTTATAAAATTGAAGATCAGAAACTGAGGCGTGCAAGGAAATGCCGGCTGGCCACTCGCAGCATCTTCACGCTTCTGCAGGGCTAACAGTTAAAAGTAGTAGAGAATGTGAAAACCAATATGTACATTTTGTGACAGGTGATAAATTAGCAATAGCAAAGGAATACATTAAAAGGGCCAAAGAGGCATAATTACTCGGAAATCCATTACTTTAATTTGAGAAGATTAAAGAGGTGTTGTATTATTAAATTGCACCTCCGACTGGAAGGAGATCCAAACCACCTTAACGACTGTAAAATGTCAAATTGTCACGTGGGCAGTATTACCCGGTGTTTCCGGCTTCGCAGTGAGACAGAGAAATTTCAATTAACAGCTTTTGCACGTGCAAAACATTGGCAGTTTAAGTTGAAACACATTCTTAACGACTCCCGCATGAAACCAATAAACCCAAAATGGCGCAGCTGGATAGTAAACTATATTTTCAATATATGAAAAATGTCAAAGGTGGCATTATTATCTGACAAATCATCGTAAGAGCTGAGATGCAAGAATAGGAAAAAAACATCTATTAGCCAGGAGTGAATACTGCATTGAGTCGTTTATTAATACCGATCGTTTATCTCACAATACACGCATTGAATTGTGTGTGTGTGTGTGCCTGTGAGAAAATCACCTGCAATACACCTGATCCTGTCATCGTAGAAGCCAATCTATATTTTTGTCTTTGTCTAGAAAATGGACAAGAACAAGGATGGCGTTGTAACAATAGACGAGTTTATTGACGCCTGCAAAGAGGTGAGCAGGTGTTTGACTCTTACCACATTTTGATAGTTGAAATATCTCCGCACCAGCTTCTAAACACTTATTATTCTTGACCTTCACCAACACCTGTCCGAACCTCTCCTCTCCTCTTACTTCGCCGCCTCTTCTAGGACCAGAGCATCCTGAGGTCCATGCAGCTATTTGAGGGCCTCTAGAGCAGAGCGGTGGCACGTGGCTTCGCTCGCGAGGGACGGAGCCAGCGGAGGAAAGGCCGACGGGAGAGGGGGGACGGGGGCGTCCGGTGGACCCCCCCCCCCCCCCCACTAAACCAACTCCTTGCAAAGTTTCTGCTTCTATTCCTTTGAATTCCCACGTCAAACTAAAACATGAATAAAAACAAAATGGACCCAAGCCGAAAGATGCAGGTGATCTGGATGTTTAGTGTCTCCCCAGGGCCGAGCGTGCCTTTGCGGTCGTGGGGATGCGAGCTCTAGAAATTAGCCTAAGCTGCGGTTGTGGGTTTTTTTGTGTCCGTCACTCAGCGGTCCCGGTAGTCTGGGCACAGCCCGCGAGCGTGCCTCGACCGGTAACCGGTTCGTCGCTCTCTTCGCACGCCACGCCGTGCAACCACGAGCGCGACCCGCAGGCCGGGATTAAGGTGCCGACAGTGGCGGTGAACTCACGCCCGTGGGCCTAAGCCGAGCCCTCGGCCTCCTCTGTCCACTGGCAACATAAATCCCTGTCATTCTCTGGCTTAAGGGTTAATGGCAGCCGGTGGGACAAGGTTAATTTGGGGTCTTCGTCTGGCCTTCTGCCATCTATAAGGAGAGGCATGATTCCCGGCCTGCATGAACCCAATTGGAGAACTGTGGCGGAGAGCTGTTAATCCAGGCCTGATGTCTCCGTCTCCGTAAGTTATAGAGGACGCTCATGTATTAGAAGTGGAAGGGACTTTGTTTGATAACCTCCCCCAGTCAATGTATGGCGGTGTGTGAGGAAGCCAAGGGCACATTTCAGAACTCTCAAGGATTTAACGGCAGGCTCTAAGTGGCGCCATGCACAGTGCTCATCTCTAAACCGTGGCAACAAATTGACCAGGGGGCTCCACTTTGGTGCCAGATCGATGCCAGCGCTGTCAACTTGGGAGGGGCCGTCACGAAAAGAAACGACGTGGGGAATGATGAGACCGGCCAAGGCCATTAAACCTGTCTGAAAACGCATCTCGATCGACGTGTACGCAGATTCAAAACCTCGGCGCACACACACCAGTGCACACGTGATTAGAAATCTGAACGTGCCAACGGGGCTGCCCTGAATTCCCGGAGGCTTCAACTCTGCCATGAAAAGTCTGCAGCTCTGCCGCTCATTCGACCGCTCGCTCGCTCGTCAGGATAAAGTCGCCGCAGAGTATTTGTTTGCGCTCCTAAAATCACAAAATCCAGCATCGTCTCGCGCTCCGTGCACTTTGGGTCAAGCGGAGGGAGCGCGGCACGAATTCTGAGCCGCATTTGTCAAAGCGTTTTCGCTGTAAATCAGCGGGACATAAACTCGTAATGGGTTTGGCGTAATCGGCTGCAAACACGCGGCTCAACTTTGCAAGGAAATGGGAGTTAATTTCGATGATAAATGGGCATACTTTTTATTATGCATTGACGGATTGTAATGTTTTTACTATGCGATTTTTAAATAAAGTTGTAGCAATTATTTATTACTATTAAACTTACAAAAAATATATATACACACAGTTGAGCAGGCTTGTTGCAAGTGCATTGCATGCAGACTGGTACGGAGAGCAGGCAGCCTTTGCTTCTTGTAGGGTATGTTGTAACGCAGGAGCTGTTCTCCGAATGCTCATGAATTTAACAATTTATTTTCTCCCCTTACAAAAATCTTCGCCACAAATTACGCCTTTTATACCTATTCCCACGATGCACAATCATTGTCAAGACTCAATGTCGGTATGTTTATATAAAAATTACGTGGTCCTGGTCATACTTCACTATAATTGCTCTGGATGCAAAAATATATATCGTGTGCAATCATTTAAACGTTTTCATTTTTTAATCATGAACATGTCTGTTTAAAAAAGAAACGCTCGTTATAAAGTCACAGCAGAATTTCTTCTTACAATTCAAAAATGTGCATGTACATTACCGATAGTGCATGCGTTGTGCGTGTGTGGTGTATATATACATTTCTGTGTGTTAGTTTGTTGTCCTTCGCCCCCGCATCTCCGATTAGCCCGGTTGGCTACGTACGGTGCGAAAGACGTTCAACGTGCACACGTAAATGCTTGCGACGCATGGGTAAAACATCCTCGTAATGAGCCCTTCCCATAGTAGGCCAGTCAGCTCGATCTCTTCATGGTTTGACTTGTGTGCAAAAAAAAAAACATTTATTTTGGACAATAAAACCAAAGCTGCTCATGGGAAATACGTCTACAGATTCTCTGTTCCGTTTCGTACAATCGAGGCGTTCGGACTCCAAGGAGAGGGGTGCTCCACGCGCGAAGATGAAGAGGTGAAAAGTCGGCGTTGTAAGTGTCACACGTAGCTGAGCGTGGTGTGAGAACATCCCTCACGCGAGGCCGTTCGGCAGCCACCCGTTGGGAAAAGTGACGTCTTAGAAGAATCTTTTCGACTTAGAAGAATTGTTGCAACGCCCCGTGCCGTCATCACTCTCTCTTGTTGTTTCATCATTTACAACAACAACAACAAAAACCACCCAGGTGTGTATTTGTTTTAAATTAGCAGCAAAGGGTTCACAAAAAAGCACACACACACACGTCATAATCTATTCAAATTGTGCGTGCCAGATGATCTCCAGGGAGTAAGAGTCTGTAAGGCACGCCCTTGATTGGCGAGTGGTGGTGATGCGTTCGGCATGCCAAGTGATCGTGGTTTTAGCATGCCCCATTCGAACCTTGCGCCATCAACTTTCATTCCTGGCCACAGCGAACAAGCAGCGGTCGGTGAGTGATCACTGAACCGGTATTGCCCTCCTCCCCACCCACCCCATCGCACTCACCAACCTGTACTGACCAGAGTGGTGAAGTATGGTCAAGCAATCTCCACGATTGACACAACCTGTGGAGGCTATCATCCAGAAGTGGATTTACAAAGGACAGGCCATTATTCGTAGTACTATAGTATTAAGTGTTTTTTTTATATCTATCAACATATGTAGACTTTTCATCGGTAGTGTTTATACATATTTCGCATTGATTGAGAACTCACCTGATGAAAGAAGACATTTAAGTAAGCTGAGCACAATTTACAAAGGTAACAATATATCAAGAAAATTAAAAATAGATTTTTTTTAAGTCACCCGAATGTCACTAACTTCACGTGGATGCAGCCCAGAGCTCGGCAAACCAAAACAAGATGAAGAGCTACATCTTGACTTAAAGCTTTCGTGACTGCAGGAATTTAAATTATTTGGGTCTTTCGGTAAAGTCTCGTAGATAGGTTCAAAGAACAAAGAAAATAACAAAAAAAACTACGACGTTTCGATCGCAACACAAGCGGTCGTCATCAAGAACGATGACGACGGCTTGTGTTGCGATCGAAACGTCGTCGTTTTTTGTCATTTTCTTTAAACCTATCTACGTGACTTTGCCGAAAGACCCAAAGGATAACAAGAAGAGCTATCATTTTTTTTAATTGGGTAAAAAAAAAATCTACATTTCAGGAGCCACAATGCGCTGTGGTGAATACGAGACTGTGGGTCCTTAATAATTAACGCCACGAGGCAGTCATGCGGTGCATGAGCCCCAGGTTGCCGAGCCCTGATTTAGCCCATTCTCCTCGTCTCAGAAGCTAAGCAGGTTAAGGGCCTGGCCAGAGAGCTTGGATCGGTCACAACCGTGCACATTTCCGGTTGCCTGGGGCTTGCGGTTGCGAGACGGTGCGCAGTGAGTGAAGAGCAGGGCAGCAAAGTCCACTGCTGTTCTCACACATCGATGCCACCATATCTACATCGCCTATTACAGCACTAATAAGTGGTACATTTGGGACGCACCTTATTCTTATTGCAGCAGCACATGGCTCATCGTGCCGCACTTTGGTCCATGCTCTGCAAAAGCTTTACAGACCACGTCCAGCTTAAGTCGGCTGCCTTTGCCCAAGCACACGGACCATCGTGGTGAAGTATGGTCAAATTATCATCCACGACCCGCGACGGCTTGCGGAGGCACCGTAGTCCGGCAGTGGGTCCACAAAAAGGGGGGGGGGGGGGGGCGACTGCCGTGCCTGTTGCAGGCGCCGGGAACGAGTTGAACGCGGGATGGAAATTCCCCTCGGCCTCTTCCAGGGCCTTTTTCTGTTGGTGGGAGAAGTTGCCAGCATCGAGGCGTGGGCCGCGTGAGATAGGGGACAGAATTGCGCAGTGATGATGGAGACATACGTAGGATGGTTTAGATAAGAAGCCACACACCAACCCAGCCAGTTCCCCTGACTATGAAAAACGATAATGACAAGGATGATAAACTGGTGATGATTTATTCGTTTGAAATGTCTAAATACACATATATATAAGCACCTCAAGATGCCGTACAAGAGTACACAAGCACAGAAGTGGTATTTTTCATGTTGTAGAAAATGTCAGGAATGTAAATATCAGTGACGAGGTGGATGGGGGTGGTCAGTGCCGGATTATCCTCGAAGCATATGTAGCAGCTACATATGTAGCTGCTACATATGTAGCAGCTACATATGTAGCAGCTACAACATTTGTAACATCATATGCTATGTAGTAGCTACACGTGTAGTAGCTACACGTGTAGTAGCTACACGTGTAGTAGCTACACGTGTAGTAGCTACACGTGTAGTAGCTACACGTGTAGTAGCTACACGTGTAGTAGCTACACGTGTAGTAGCTCCGGGCCCCGGCACTTTCAAGGGCCCCGCGCTAAATGCTTTCAAGCTCTCACTTCTGGTTCAATAATTCTGCACTTGCTCTATTACTATAGTACTATACTGCCTTCAATTTTTATGAACGACTGGGTGTATAAGGTTAGCGATTTGTCGCATTATCTTGCTGTATAGCGAATGAAAAAATCTAATTACTTTACTGTGCAAGTTACAAATTCGTTTTTTTAATATTTATGTTTTTTTAGGGCCCCTGTATAACATAATAAGCTACAGGCCCCGCACTAGCTTCATCCGGCACTGGGGGTGTTAGTGGGGGGCT